TTGGACTTGGGGGGATTAATTAGTTTGAGTTGACGATGAAAATCGTGGATGGTTTTGAAACGAAAGCGGGGCCAACGGGCGTTACTGTTTCACCTACCTGCGGTTATCTTATTCCTCTCCCCAAACCCGCTTCTCTCTCTACTTCTCGTTCTCGCCCGGCGCCACCTTTTAATCATTTCATTTTTCTTAATTAACTAGCTTTACATCGGTCTAGGTAATGTTGAAAATTTGGTATCGGTATTTGAGATATATCGAACCGTACCAAATTTGTCTATATTTGATCTTACCGAGTACACGTATTATCATTTAATTATATATAGATCATTCCATCACTATTTCACAACTAAAAAGCAGCGGCGGATCCAGAACACAGAAGAGTACTGGGCCATATTTCATTAAAAAATTAGAATCGTAAAAGAATATTATAGTTTTTTTTACAATATAAATTGTACACGACGGTATTTTAATTTAGCGAATGCATCAATAATGGAGTCCACATCCATACCAATAATATACATTTTTTTAAAATAAAATACTTTAGCAAACGACTAGAAATCCATCGTTCATTTTGTTGCGAAATCAGTTTTCATATGTTTCATTGTTGAAAAGGTTATCCTTGTAGTAGTTGTTGATACGAGCAGCGTCAACTCTAGACAAATCAACCGTGCATTGTAATTTGTATGTCCATACCTATATCCACTAACTGCTTTAGTAAAATTTCAAGGGAATAAACCTCATATTTCTTATAGTCTTTTACGTTTTAGACTTTTAGATTTCATTGTTTTTTTTAGAAAAATAGTCTTTGGAGTTAGAATTTCTAGACTAAATTTATAGTAGTGATTTGAATATGTTAATCTGAATCATTTTTCTAGTTACACCCAATCTTATTATAAAATAACACTAGGGTGAAGAACTAAAATCAAAAAATTCATAAACACTATACTAACTTCGAATCCAGAGGAGGGCTGGCCCGGGGCCCGGGGTGGCCACCCCATGGATCTGCCACTGCTAAGAAGTCATCATCCAACTATAGTTTGACTTTCCAATTTAAGTCACTCTCGTCTCTCACATAATCTCTTGTTGTTTTCATAACACCAAAAAGTAAACACTAGTATTAGTTGTCTCCCAACTTCCAATTCGTCAAATTAAAGATTACCAATGACAATAACTTAAGATGTCACCTCTCCTCCATTCTTCTCAATAATATCCTAGCTCTAGGCAAACTCAAGACTCTTTGCTTAGTCTTTTTGTCCTAAATTAAACTATAAAATCTAATTTATATATTTAATTATTAATTGAAAAAATAATTAATTTAATATTTGATAATACAGATTGGTATACCGAAATACCAATTGGTATACTGAAATATCGATTGAGATACCGAATTATAATAAAATATCAAGATGTATGTTTGTATTATGAAAAAATAAAAATATATATTGTATACAATCTATAATAAAAATACTATGGCTGCGGTCCCAGGTTCGAGTCCCTTCAGTAGTACCTAATAACAAAAAAAGTAACCTACATCACCCTTATCTAAAAAAAAAAATACTATGGCTGCGGGAGCACTCTTAATTCTTCGTTTACTTTTGCTTCTTGTTTGTTTTCTTTTGTTATTTAAACTTGGCATTTTTTTTATCAAAGTACACATGTTTAAAAAATTATCAAAATACATATATTTTATGAAATGTTCTCAATCTACACATGTTTGGGCAAAACCGCGGCCATCAGACGCGGTGAATAGTATCACTACGGCCGTCAGAAGCAATGAATGCTAACCTAGGCTGAAACTTCGAACGAATGCATTTTGCGCTTGTTTGTCCGATTGTAGCAAAAAAATTGATTCCCCGTAATTTTTTGAGATCTTTCTAGCAGAAGGTGGTTTGGTCCCGCTTCCGTCCCGAAAAAAATATCGTTTGCTACCCCAAACGAGCAATTATTCGATTTTTCCAAACTTTGGACGACTATAACTTTGTGCTCTGTAGCCCCGGAACCGTAGGGCGAAGGTTTATTATGAGCCCGTAGGGCGAAGGTTTATTATGAGCCCGAAAAGCGGGCGAAGGAAAACGACCTTTCTCGAAGAGTGGTATGGGAGGTACGACCTGTCCTCAGCATTCTATGCTAGTTAAATCTGACAACGGTCCTATAATCACACTGCTCCAAAAAATTTTCGGGTAAAGGCAAATACTTTTCTTACCAATATATATACTATGACGAAAAATTATGGTACAAGTAATTCAAAAAATCTACGCCATAAAAAAATTATTTTACATATCCATGGGGATTTCAAGAAACTTCCCTATACCAAGAAGACTTCCTTCCACAACCTGCGATGAAATCCTATTGGAGATAGCTATGGAGGCCTTCAATGCTCATAACTTACCATCATTGCTACGCTCCACCTCCAAAGACCAAGAGCTCATTGGAGCTTGCCACCGAGAAATTAGAAATAGCATGCTCCATTGTGGCTTACCAACCCCTCCCACCTCCCGATTTGAAGCTAAAAGAAAAAGTCGACCAATGATGATTGTGTGGAGCAAGAGGAACTCATCCCGGAGAGCTCATGTGGTAAGGATGATCAAGAGTGTCTCATTGACGACCTCCACGCCTTTCCATATCTCACGACCAACTTTGAAGAACAAGTCACAATGGAGGAGGAGCAAGATGACTTTATCAAAAACCTTTCATGAAAATTTGCCTTCCAATTTATACTTGAAGACAAGGATGGCAAGGTGAGAGAAGCGGTTGAGGAGGAGGAAGTGGGCATCGAAGAAGATGAAGATTTTGATTGTTCAAAAGAGGAGGAACACATTTTGGAAGAAGGAAGGGAGGTTAAAGATGAAAGTGGTGTCCGATCAATGGACGAGGTTGGGGTGGATGAAGTTTCTACAAGTTACAAGTGCCACCAAAACTTTCCACCCAAACTTGATGCACTTCTCGAGAAGGACTCATTTGTGGCGTCTCTTTGCCAAGCAAAGGCCACACCATTATCGTTCCCTCTCTGTGGATATGATGGTGGTCAATCCATGATGTGCTACATGGTGCGGGGTGAAGAGAAGAAAGAAGAATGCAAGAAGAAGAGGTATCGTGGGTGGAGCCTCAACTCTCATCAAGTCCACAAGCCATTTACATTATTCGAAGCATCCCATGCTCGAGACTTGAGACTCCATATCACTAACGTGAACCTCGAATCCAGGGAGATTTTAGGATGGATCGAGATTTAGGAGTCCTCATCTGTCTCATGACGTTAAAGAAGTGCTTGTTGGGGGTCAACCCAACCCATCGGTTTGCATTTCTTTTCTTTTCAATAAATAAATCTTGGGAGCTTGTGGTGTTTTGTTTGTTGAGTTGCTCTCCCGAAATTTACATGTTGATAATAGCACATTTGCACATGTTTGCACCAATCAAAATAGTATAGAGGGATGATGAGATGGGAAAGGAATTAGTGGGCGGTGTTGTTGATGTTGAATGGAACACTAATATCCATTTGACTACATAGTATAGAGGCAGCATATAGGCTATAACCAATCAAAATATCCTAATTATTTATCTTTTCAGAACCGGAACAGATGTTGAATCGAAAAAGTTAGTGATTTAAGGTTCAGTGGTTAATCGTTGATAGAACCGTTCATGATATATAACATACAAGACTAGTATAATACACTAATTTAATAATGAAGTTATCAATTATCATTGACCATAAACAATTTCAAATTCATATCATCACCAAAATATCCAACAAATGAGATGAGAAAGTATAAATAAATTTAATACTTTTGGTTTGCTGGTCTTAGTTTACGTTAAAGTATTTTTTTTAAAAAAAAATTGTGATTAAAATATGAACCACTGGGTCAGTTAAAACGTGGTGGTTCATCTGGTTTTATGTTGAACCGTGAAAAACCGATTGATCCATCAATAACCGTCCTTGCAATGAATCAGATCGTTATCATTGTTGGTTTGGAGGTTACATTGACCCACCTGTTTATCCAGTTCGATTCTTATAAAAATGCTAATTATCCTTAACTAACCAATAACTACTAACTAATTAATAACCACCCTAGATTACTCTAATGACCAACATTAACTTTAAAAAATCCTTAAATTTGGTCTTAAGGACCTGACCCAACTCGGTCTGGACTAGACCGCAGTTTGTGAGACCAAACCGTGAACCTAACCCACTTCTCAATTTATTAGTAGTCCACTCTACATCTCTCCCCACTCTCCACTGATGTCCAAGTCTCAACCCTCGTTGTTTCAATCATGTCTTCTCCTTCATTCACAGATCACACTTTGCAAAGAGAGCAGAGGGATTACATCTCCATATGTTGTTATGTTAATGTTTATGATGCTATAGTGGAAATTGGGTTTCTCTAACTTCGTGTATTTTTTTATATTTTTGGATTTAGAGTATCCAAAATTTTCAAGGTTTTAGAAGAAAAAAAACATATTTTCTTAATTATTGGTTCGAATTTTTGTACGATCGAACAAACTGTTTATTTTTTACTCAACGTTACCTGCTTGATTTGAAAGGTACATAACCAAACCGAATAAGCATGATTTTATATAGAAAATATAGTATTTGATCTTATCAATATTATCTGCTTCACCTCTTGAATATGAATCGTAGATTGTATATATGATTAGATATGAACCAGACCGTACAATTTGTCAGCTGTAGTAAGAGGATTCCTATGGATATTGCATTTTCAATTGCAGAATAACATGACATGGGTGTTTGCAATTACTCATTGCATATTTGCAAGTTTGCAACAAATACAATTGCATATGCAAATAAAAAATGCCTAAAAAATGAAGATTTTTTATTTTTTTCCTTTTACTTTATTTTCTATAATTTAGACATAATATCGAATTACAATGCAATTATTGCAAGTGAATTGAATTGATGTAAATGAGTTGAGTTGCAAAAATATTGAGATAAAAAAAAAACCTTAATATGCAATTGAACTTGCCAAAGCTTTCATCAAGCGATCCTATATTTTTTTTGTTGAAGTCACGGGGGCAATATGTCTTTCTGGTGTTCAATCATAATTCATAACGCCTCGCAGGGTTAGAAAGCTAACGCATTCCCTCTGGTACCCTAAACGCCTAAACCCTAGCAAAGCGGTGAGTGTTTCTTCTCGGTTCCAGGAATCCAAGTCTGTGCCGCCGGTGAGATATATCGGAAGAGCACTCCGTCGAACCCTCTACGCCGCAGAATGGGAAGGGAAATAGAGCCGCAGAAATCTCAGCAGCAAGTCTCATACACAGTGGAGCAGCTGGTAGCTGTGAATCCTTACAATCCCGACATCCTCCCCGATCTTGAAAACTACGTCAATGAGCAGGTTCTTCCCACTCTTCCTTTTCCTTCTTACCATCATACATCCATTATTGATCTTCAGCCTTCGTAACGCAATAATTCATTCCGTTCGGAGTTGTTTTTTTTAACTGAAGTCGAGTTTCGGGTCTTGTTTGGGTGGCTGCAGTTCATTAGGTTACGATGGTGAAATCGAGGCATGCATCTGCTTGTGTTGAATCTGATTATGTTTCAGTCTTTCAAGTGCCAGTGCCTTTAAGGGTTTTCATTTAGAAGCATGTATTCTGTGAGAGTCAGGAACATATGAAATACATTGGAAGGGTCAACCCAAGGATGCACCATTACATACCCTTAAATGTAGCACACATTTAGAGCTGATGATAGGATCCATGTGCTCCTTTGGTTTCTTATCCAGTCTAAATGGAATATTTAATCGGTTATTAAGATGTTGGTTTATATTTGTTGATGAACAGGTTGCCTCCCAAACATACAGTTTAGATGCAAATCTCTGCCTTCTTCGCCTTTATCAGGTGCTGTGACTGAACTTTTTTGTTTACTTATTAGCTCTGTGCTTCCCTTAACACCCAATATGGTGCTTTTGTCACATTATACATATTAATACTAGTTTTAACCTTCAGTGTTACTCGATGTTTGTTACTGCAGTTTGAGCCAGAGCGGTTGAGCACCCAAATTGTTGCTCGCATTTTGGTTAAGGTTTGGTTGGCTTGCTTAAATTGGCCCTCACTTTTATTTAATGTCTTTAAACTCTGTTTTGAGGTGCGCATATTGTGTTTATGCAGGCCCTTATGGCAATGCCGGCTCCAGATTTCAGCCTTTGTCTCTTTTTGATCCCAGAAAGAGTGGTATTGAACAGTTGTACTTCATTTCCGTTTTCTTACAATGGAATGATTTATTTATTTTGGCACTCTTGCTATGTTCATGCATTTGGTTGTAAAAATCATTTTCATATACTCAATTCTTTCGTGTGAGCATATTGGTCTTGCCTATTATTTGGTTGATCACTATCTCGTGGGGTTTAGCATTTTGGTTTACTCAAATGTGAGAAACGTGCTGCAGCCACCTTGATTAATGCTCATCTAATCTGTCCAACAATTATTTGATAGTAGACCATCTATTTGTTATGTGAATCTTTTGGTTTGCAAGGTTTATTCTATTGGCATGTGGCGCAGATGCTTGGTTTACTTTTTGGTGCTTTTGAATAGTTTTACCCAATTTTCAGCTACCACCCTTGTCTTCCTATGTTTAATTTGTATACTTTGATTTCTGATAATCAGCAAATGGAGCAGCCGTTCAAGACTCTGATTGTCCTCTCACATTATCTTGAGGTATATATAACATATATATCGCGTAACTTCTAGGTTTCCTGTAAGCCGATATAATTTTATAGTTCTCTTCATTGTAATTTGCAGACTGGTGGGTTTCGTCTATTCTGGGATGAAGCAGCTAAGAGTCGGCATATTGTTGACGCTGTACCAGGTATTGATCAGCCACTATTCATTGGGTTCTTTTATTTCTGTTTGAAGTTGCCTTGGGAGCATTATGGGAATCGTCATATTCTGTTGTGCCATTCGGTGATGCTGGAGATGATTAGGACTCTTGTGACATTCTCTTTGAAGGGCATGACTTCAGTCTGGAGTGCTTGCTTGTGAACACATGCCTGTATCAGCTTTACTAAGACAGCCCTACATTATGATCTACTATTACAATTCGGAAACTTTAGTTTCATTTTGTGTATGATTTGAGTTTCTCTTGGTGCAGGGTTTGAGCAAGCTATCCAAGCATATGCAGTTCACGTCCTTTCTTTGACCTACCAAAAGGTTCCTAGGTCCGTGTTAGCAGAGGTATGCATTTTTCCTGTCAGAGCTCACAATGATTTTTATTCCTCTTTCTGATTCTACCAGCAACTATGTGAGGCACAGAAGCTTTTCTTTTGTAGCTCAAATAGAATCACTTTTTCAGAATTACATGCAACTTTTGAATGCAAGGAAATCAAACTGTGCCTGTAGGGGCATTATAGTCGCACAAACACCATTTTTCAACTGACTTACACAACCCAAGATGACTTCGAATGAAACAAAAGCCTTCCTGTCTACACTATGTTAGATCTGTGTACCCATTTTCTGACTCATTGTCATATTCCGTCAGGCCATCAACATTGAAGGTTTGTCGCTGGACAAATTCCTCGAACAGCGAGTGGCAGACCGTGGGTGGGTTATAGAGAAGGGCCAAGGTGGTGGTCAAGTCATTGCTCTCCCTAAGACTGAATTCAACCATCCTGAGCTCAAGAAGAACTCTGGCGATGCCGTCCCATTGGACCACGTCACTCGCATCTTTCCCATTCTTAGCTGAATCGTTTTTTCAACATTACAGCTGGATTTAGCTGAACTAGAGCTTGGACTCTGATATCCTTCTGTTACCGAGAAGGTTTTTGTTTGATGATGACCATTACATTGTGCGATCGAAGAGAGATGGCATAATGGGAAACACAATGCAATACTTCTGTGGAAGCTAGTACGGCTATGGATCGAGATAGTACGACACTTGTGTAGAGAATGAATAAGGCATACAGTATGTCATTACTGGTGTAACAAGCAAAAACGAAAGAAAATGGTTCTACTTGAAAGATACTAGACATAATAATAATACAGAGACTAAGTAGATAGATACAGAAGGCTTTTGTTGACATTAACACGTTCTTGGCAGCCACACAGATAAGGCACATCGAATGTGTTGCTGTGCTGTTGCTGTTGCTGTGGAGAACCAAAAGAAATTCCGTTCGCTCTTTCGAGGGAGGCTTTAGGATCTGCATAACCTCACATTAGTCCCTATCCAATCTCTGAAATTCTCATCCCCAGGACAAACTTCCTACAACTCATTCAAACAAGCAAGGAAGCAAAAGAATTAACGTCGTCTCGACCACCATATTTACATAACAACACCCCCCAAATTTACTGGACAAAAGGAACAAAAAAATGAATGATTTTTTTTTCCTGGGTTTTTTTTCTTCTCTGGATTGTTTGTGGCTATTTACTCCTTGTTTAGTGTCTGGTCTCAATCTAGGGTTTCGTTCCATCAGTGCTTGCGTCCTTTGAGGATCCTCGGTTAGAAACTGGAACCTCTGCGACGTGACGCTTGTTAACAACCTCTGTACTGCCTTTGGTGGGGTTCAACAGCAACCAAACATCTTTGTGGATCAGGTGAAGTCAAGGTGGAAAATAGGAAGTAATCATCTTGTGATAGATACAAGCAGTAAACATCTCTCAATGGCAGAGTGCTTCTCCATAGTTTACCCAGTGGACGAAACTATCTGAGTAGTCGTCCAACGCGCTGGGATGCTGTGAACTACTAGCAGCAGATAGCTCTGGTTCAGTCTCCGGTTCCTTCAAATACACGAAACAGGGTTTTAACGCAACCAACAATCGGGAAACAAGAGCTTCAACAAAGCAAACAAACAAGTGGGAAAAATTACTCACCGCCCTCATGGATCCATATTCACTAGCAGTTGGGGTTCGCTCCCTGGTCATCATTCCATTTGTGAAACAACTATCTGATGACGACTGCCCAGCACTGGAGGAGTTTGTGATCACTGAAGTCCTGCATTAGTAAATTTGACCAATTATATTCCGAGCTCCTTTACAACTCGTAAATGAGCCTCACATTTGAAGATGGAACAAAAATTACCTATCAAATGGCTCATCTTCAAATGAATTCCCGGATGATGACAGCCAGTCCAGATCAACAAAATTTGACCAATTAAGTGTGTCTTCCGAAAAGTAAATGTGATCACTTTCATGGATTTGATCTCTTTGTATGTCTCCAAACAGCTGTCTGTGAGGCAGTTGCGGAGTGTACCTAATTTTCACCCAATAAGTGTCGTCAAATTGCAAAATATACCCAGAAGCATACATATGCAAGAATACAACGAAAATCAATTGAAAAGTTTGGAATATCAGGTACCACGATTATAATACCTTCTTCCAAGGTGACATACAGCACATTATCAGCCACAATATGTTTATAGATAAATATATAACCTCCGTTTCCTTCGGCAAGTTATGCAACTATAAAATTTTCTATCACTTTGCTTTTGTAAGAGGAAAACACAAACCTATAGGTGCTTACACATCCAACAGTACTTCTCATTTCAAAAAATAAATGTTTAAGGAAAGATGCATGAAGTTTACTGAATGACAGAAATTCATTATAGTTAGTAAACTACCTTATCACTTATCATGTTGCTTCGGCAAGAGGAAACCACAACCTATGGGTGCTTACCTATCCAACGCTACATTCTAATTTCAAAGAATAAATGTTTAAAGAAAGATGCATGGAATTTACTGATTGACGAAATGCATTATAATTACTAAGCTTCTAGCTGAAATTAGTCATAAAAAAGGGGGGAAAAGGAAGGAAAAAGGACTTTAAGAGAAAATAAGCTCTTATACTGTTAAGAAAACAATGTGAAAACTATAGCAATCAAAAGCATCAAACACTAGACTTTGTGTTCGAAATATGGGGGCTTCGGCAAAGACAGCAATCTATAACTAAATACATGATATGGCTTCAGCTGTAAGTCAAGCAATGAAATAGCAAACCTTGAAAATGCCAAATTGGCATTACAGGATGATATCTCAGGGGATGACCCTGAGTAACAGTTGGCTGCTCCTTGCCATTGATCAGGCAAAGCTGTTTTCGGAAAATTATTTCCTTTGAGATTTGGAGCGGATACTGGGTGACAACTGTGGCGAAGAATGTTTCCATCTGACAATGATCTTTTGAAAAATGACCTAAACAAAAAACAGAAGTCAACCATCCAGTTAGGTACGAAGAAGGAGAAGCGACAGAATAGCATGCATTCAGAGGAACCATCACAAACCCTGTTCACATAGTGCGAGGCAACAAATGAAACAGTTAATAAAGCCTGAAATGGAAATAGATGGTTTACTGAAACATCTTGACAGTGCAATCCCTCAATGTGCACAAATACTCGCTACCATCTCTAAACATCCATAAAAGTTCCCAAAAAATTTAACTTTTCATATAAAAATAAGTCCGGAAATAATTATTAACTTCTAACAGTTACAAGAGAATCATTACCACCGGTCAAAAGCTCAAAAACCCAATCATCTTTCCCTTGCAGATGCAAAATGACAGACCAGAAGCAGATGCTGGGATCCAAACAAGTACAGTGATGGAGAAAGATAGTAAATTGTACCACAGCTTGCACAACGGAACCATGAAGAAATGGTCTGAAAAGGCTACCTGATATCGTGGCTATTACTTCCTGCGCTCAAGTGCTGGTCTGAATCCAATTCCCATAGTGCAGGTTTCCCATGTTGTGGCTGGAAGTGGCCCAAGAATCTGCTCCAATAGAAATTTACACAAATTTGATTAGCCGTTTTGCCAAAGTAATAGAAAGAAATTCAGAATGCAGAAAAGTAAAAGGATACATTTGGAACAAGTGGGCAGATATTGTCCACAAAATGCAGAGAAGTGTAAAAGGACACATTAGGAACTCAGTGAACTCCAATGATGGACCTCAATCCATATGATTTATTGGCAGCACGGAACAAAGTGTTTTCAAGTGACTGCATATGAAGGATGCTTACTTAAAGTCAGAAACCACTCACACGTTAATAGCATCTTGTTTCTGCGCATCCATGTATGCATTGCTATAGTATCTTTGAAGAGTTCGGAAGAATTCCTGAGACTGGGTTGCTGCTTTCCACTGGCCCCGTCTCTCCGAAAATATCTATAGGATGTATTAGTTTAAGAAACAGAGTAAGAAACCTAGATGTCATATTATGCTACGGATCATTTTTCATATATGCACTGACTTTCATATGTGTCTCCATGGCCAGTTTCCCGTTCATCAAAATGACAACAAATTTTGATCACCACAGAGTTCAGGTATGCAAATCTTTTTAAGTTCAGCAATTGATCGTTCATTTATTTGAACTGGGATTCGTCAAGAGTTGGTAACATTATTGCGCATTGCCTTGGTACATCTGATTGAATACTATAACCCAATCTAAGGTTATATCCAAACTGCCTAGCAAATTCAGGACAGATGTACATTTTCTGAAACTGAATCACATCTTCCACTTCGCATGAAACCAGACTAGGTTCTGCCTCCAGTCAAGAGTAGGTTCTAGTTCTGCCCATTAAATCTCCACTACCATATATCAGAGATGCAAGAAAAGAAGGTAACGAAATAAAAAGGCAAAAATACGTTGGAGCTTTAAAGTTAAAAAAAAGCAAACTAAATCACCTTGTTGTGGGCAGCTGAGCCTCCATACTGATGGGCAAGTGTATCACCCATATTTTCATAAAATCCCATCAAATGATCAGCCAAAGGTGCCTCAAGGTCTATCTTGGAAGAATCTAATACTCCTAAAGCGTGAAGCTGGCAGCCAAGAGCAGCCAAGCCATATGCAAACTGTGCAACATTTGTTCTATCCAGACAATCTATACAATTGGTCCTCAAGACCCCATTTTGGAACATCGGTTGCTTTGTAGAATGATTGCCATTAGCAACATTACCAACTTCCTTTAACTTACTCTCTAAGTTATTGGTATCCTCGTGGCCATTATTAAAATGTTTCTGCGGAAACATAGCTCCTTTTCCTGCGCTCCTGCCCATGATCGAAAACATAATAATTCACTGTTAAAACCTCATGAACCATCCACCCACAAAAGGAAAAGTTCATAAACCTGCCAAATTGCCTGACTTTTAGCAGGGTACGCTTTTCATTCTACACTCAGATTACTGGCATCAGAAAGAACCACCTCTTAAATGAGCTTATTTCCAGTGTGTAGAAAATATACATTAGTCAGAACGAAAACTAAGAATAAGAGAAAATTGTCAAATAATATAATGAAAAACCCAATTAACAAAAAAGAAGGGGAAAAAAAAAAAGGAAAAACGAGAATAGCAACATGGGGCCCAAAAACTTATGAATGAATACATATTTTACAGCGTCATATCAAGGTCTTCAATACGTCAAATGATATGCAACAAGCAGCTAAATGTGTACAAACACAAAGAGGGTAGTATCTTTTATGTCCGACAGTTCTCAGGTATACTGCAAGTGGTGGCCAGACAGAAAATACCAGCAAAGGACATCAACATATTCTGCCAAAGACTGAACAATATTGTACTACATACTTAATTGTCAATAAAGCGGATTGATCAATTCTAACTGCATCCTCAAGCATACTATATCGGGAACTTTGTCATGTTTGTTAGAACGCAAATGGAGTACTGAAAACCTGATAAATGTGGTAAGATAACTTACTCGGATGAAGAGAAACCAAGGCCACACTCAGGTTCCAAAGTGGGTGTTACATGACAGTAAAAGAAACCTGTTAAGGTCAGAGCATATGCAGCCACTTTCCCTAGAAGTAATAAAGCGTTGGTTGCTTTTCTGAGAACATCATAACAAAGAAACAAGCTCCTCCAGGTAAGAACATAATTCCAGATATTTTTTTGCATGAAAAGAGAAAGGAATCCTCAAACCAATCGTAAGGGGTACCTCCGAGCATGTTTGTGCAGGTCCCAGTGAAGGAACCGTAAACGGTTTTCTTCTGATAAATCCTTATTGATATAACTGATAGCATTAGCAAACTCTGTACGAAGAATTGATTCTCGCGGCCTCTTTTCTTGTGTCTGTTTATTGCAAAAATAGACAGTACACAAAAGCTAAGTGATAGCCACAGATGTCTGGAAACATTCTTAATTCTAGAAGCAACTTCAAGCAAGGTCAATAGGAGTGCCCCCAGTAGACCAGCGGCAGTGGAGATGAAGAAAAAGCAATGCCAAAAGAACTTACTTTAATCAAGTTCAGTATGATTATTGGATTTCCATATCTCTTGGAGAGATTTTCAAAATGAAGTCTGGTTGCTTCATAGTTTTGGTCCTTCCTCGACACTAGAAATAGAAGAACAACGAAGTCTTGTGAATAAATTAAAAGGACACGCTATTCATGAAGCAGAAAAAAAAAGCAATGGCATACATATGATGTCTGGCTTGATATTCAGACGGGAAGTTTCCTGCGACCAAAATAATGGAATAGAGCCACGGTTCTGCACAACAGAGCTTATTTGCACCGGAAGCCCTTCAGGTACATCCTCAAAAACTATTTGCTCTGTCTCAACATCGTTAGCAACCCTTCCCTTCTCGTTTACACCGCGTTTTAAATACCTGGAGTTTAAAGCATACCATGAGAGAAACATGCAGCTGCGCTTTGCCAACCATCATTTACAAGAGTTTGCTATCTATTCTTTCATATCAGTAAATTAACAAACTTGGAAATACAAAGAGATTTGCATACCCTCTATCAAATTGTAGTTAAAAGTTTCCAAGAATAAAGTAAGATTTTTAGTGCAGGTTCATTCGAATTGTCTTACCTGGTGCCGGCATAATGACGCGAACGTCTTGCGATGAGGGTAAGTTTGAAGTCACGGCCAGCAACAGAGAGTGACTCCTACACTCATTAAGAAACAATTACTATTAGAAGGACCAAGTCATGAAACCTGACTACGAAATGAAAATCAGCACATGACCATAGCATATAAATTTGCAGAACCATCGCATCAAGTAATAAGGCAGCCAAAGGAGAAATAAGCATGTCTTAATAAAGGGACCATCTGGCTGTTTGATTAGAAAAATAAGGATTGACCTAATCCTTGGATTTGGAGAAGGAAGGAAACGGTGATAGATTTGGAAAATTAGGGATTTGAAAGTTGTTTGGATGTAGGATTACTCTATGGACTTGAACAATTAAGTAAAACGAATTTCCTTTACCCTCACTTTAATTCTTATATTTTAATTATAAATTATTATTTCCTCTTCTATCTCCGCAACCAAAGATTTTCAGAGAAATCCAGATCGAGCTGGTGTGGCAAATAAACAATCAACAGCAGGAATAATCCACTGAAGTTGCTTTCACTAGGTTAGTTAGTTGGTTATGACTTTGCCTCTGCAAGTAATCTAGAAAATCAAATCCATTATAACAGGTTAAGAATGCATGAGTATCACACACAAAAATCAAGAAACAAGCAACTGATGAAGAAGATTGCAGAACGTTCAGCAGTCCAGCAAGTTTTATTACCAAAATAGCAAAGACTATTAAGGGCAAAGGTAAATTAAATTACAGAAAATAGGCACGTATCTCAAACTATCCAATGATCACCTGCTTGAAGAACCCATACACTAATGCAACAGTCCACTGTGTATTCTGAAGGTGATTTCGAATTCCACGAGTCAGGAACTCATTCCAGACAAACATTGTCTCGTAAAGGACTTGGCCTTTTGCTTTATCACACAAATTCCTTTGAAGACTACGCATAACATGGTATGAGTAGCTAAAATAAAAGTCCTTTGTGAGGTCCACCATGCATAGGAGCTTCTTGTATCTAAACCAGCAGTGAATAACAAATAATTAATCAACAACAGAAGACCCTAAAAAAAGACACAAAGAGTGTCATCCAGGCACACAAATAAAGGAGAGATAAGAGACCATGACACGAAAAGAAAAAAATTCAGCTTCTCCGAAAATTCTGCTTCGTTTTGGTAATACCTGATCTCGTTCCTAGAATCAACAGTATCAGCATGTACGGAAGAATTTTGAATTGGAATCATTTCGCTCTTAGAGACAGCATATACATTCTGACCGCATATTGAACCAATTGTTCTTCTTTTTGTTATTAGTAACATGTAATATGGACCCAGAAACTTCACAAACCCTGAAACAAAACAGATTAAGAGGGGGAAAAGCACCTCCAATGATTAGATAACAAAAATAATTGTCCTCAAGGTGAGTGAGAGAAAAGTCAGAACCACATACCAACAATTCCATAACATATGGTAATGAACTTTAAACCACCAGTGGCCTTGTTTCCTTCATTTATCCGCCTCAACAAATCAGAACATTCTCGCTCTGTATATGTCGTCGAATCTTCACGAATACTGAGCTCTGAAGAATCTAATCTGTCGATCTTCAGGACTCTCCAATAAGTCCTACTCTTGTCCCTACCTATCATGTAAAATTTCTGAACAACGTAGAAAGGGTATGAGGCACGAAAAAGACGAGCAAATTGCTTAACATTTCTAAGCAACCCAAATCAGCACAGCATGCATAGGCAAAGATTTCTAATCCTTTGGAATTGGGGAAAATATGGGAAATAAATAAGATGGAATACATTTTCATAAATAGCCTAAAACAATTCAGTTTATGCTGTGAAACATCACAGTTTCTAGTCAGAAACAAAGCTTTTGTTGCAGAGCATGACCATTCTTGCACTGCATTTCCACTACCAAACGAACTAGACTTCATTTCAACTGCCAAACCGTCGTTAGGTAGTTAATTAACAAGTTTACAAATATTATCAAATCCTTTACGCAGAGAAGCACCCAAAAAAAAAAAAACAAGTATTCCAACACAATTCAGCAAGTCTACTCCCAAAATTGGACCAAGGCTATCATCGAAGCGAAGAGAACACGAAGCTCAGGCTATACACAACGATGCGAATTATAAGCAGATCTTAGGAAGATCGAGAAGAAGGAAGACAATACCGATCGCGTTTCGTAGAGCCTGAATTTCTGCATAGGCAGGTCCATTGGAGGACGGCGCGGCAGTTCGTCATTGATTGTCATGCGAGAGGTAGAAGGCCCTCCGTTCTCGGCCATGGCTGGGCGCAGGTTTGGCGCTCTCTGTCTCTTCTATCTGGTATCTCGAATTTGGTTCCTAAATTGATGGAAGATCTCTCCCCGAGCCCCCGGCTCAGGGAATTCACAAGCGCATTCAATTTCACGTCCTGAGATTTGGGCAAACCAGAATTCTGCAGGCCACAACGACGACACGATCACAGCCCTTTCCCTATGCATATAATGGAGCTCGGCTGCTTCAAATACAGCATTCCCCGGTATTCTATTCCAAGCCGAGCTTCTTAATAGAATTCCAGCTCCGTCCGTGCTCCCATTCGCCGGAAAACGCAGCACCGGCAGAGCCACAGCCAGAGCCACCACCACCTCCAAGAACGATCTTGACGACCTCAAACGAATCACGTTTCCCAGCGAATCACGCCCAAGGAGATCATCAACGAACAGAATTTCGAGGAAGAATGAGTTAGTCCAATCGTGACGAGCACGAAGCGAGAGAGACAGAGAGAGATTTTCCAAAAAAAAAATTAAAGATGGGAGAAGATCCAGAAGGAGGAGGAGGAGGAGGAGGAGGGTGTGGATTTGGGAGAGGTTCGAGAAAAAAAGAGGTGTATTTTATTTTTGTGAAACACCAGCTAATTATTGATTCTGTTGTTTTAGTTTGATTATTTGTTTGTTATTTATATTTTGTTAGTTTTTAAGTGTTAATTATTGTCTTATAGTTTGCAATTCTCCTCTCTGGTGGCATGTCGGACTCTATAATCGAGTTCGACTAGGTTCGGTAACAAAACCAACTTAAATATTCCAGTATAAGGCAGTCTGAAAATCAGAAAAATTGAGGGTCTGATTGAAATGATCGATTTTATGTCCTAAACGAAATAATGTTGGTACAGTGAATTTAATAAACAAAATAATAATAATTTTTATGATTTTCTCGTGAATTTAAATATAAAATGTTGATGTTATTTGTTAGTTTTAATTTTTTTTATTATTATCTATTGTATTCAAATATAAATGTTTGAATGTTAAGTTTAAATGTTGTAATTATATAGATTTGTCTTATTTTGTCATCATATTTTATTTAAATATGAATGTAGAATGTGAAGGAGATTAACCTGAGACACACTATAGATATATGTCTGTTGTTCATCTGGTGTGAATGGTTTCTCACTTTTCTTACATATTCTTTTTTATCATAGCTTACATATTTTGCTAAACCGACATAAATTAGTTGATTCTGATCGGACTATATCACTTGCTAAACTGGTATTATTATCCGGTTAGATAACCTTGCTCGCAGAGGTGATCTATAAGTTGTATAGGGTGTTGCTTGTCGATGTTGTTGTGTTGTTGCTATTGGTGTTTGCTTTTGGTTCGAGTTAAGGCATAGAAGGAAACTCTTTTGGAAAAGGAAACTAAGATCACATGATCGTAGAATTCTAAAAGAGGCGAAACTTATGCCCTTTGTAGTATCATTTTTTGTTTCTATTTTTTTTCCTTTCACATGTGAGAACAATGACTTGAAACATGTTTAGTTCTTTTTTATATGTGTTAGATCAAGTTGGAAGAGAAGCACGAAAGGAATCCGTCTCCTTTATGAATTCATATTGGAAGTGGCGCTAGAACATTTGAAGCTTAGAGAGTCTGTGTCAAAATGAAGAACTGTGTCATTTTGGTTTATTTACATTTAGTCCCTGAAGTTGTTATTTTATGTCAGTCGAGTCATGTGAGCTGTTGAGTTTCTGTTGAGAGTTTTCAGTAGTAGTTAGGTTAGTTGCAGCTGGCTTATAGGAGGTAGAGGAATAATGGAAGTCTGAGTTTAAAAGCTAGAGTCGTTGTATATAAGTCATTCATGATTCTCATCAATAAAATATCATATTGCAATCCACTTTGAGCTTTCATATTGGTATCATAGCTCGTGCAAGCTGTAACCATTAGAATTGAAAGAAAAGTGAGATTGCAGATAAGAGAGAGGTCTTGGTTACTCATGGTAAACACGAGTGAGTGTGAGGTCCTATGATTTGAGAAACACTAGTGAGAGAAGGTATTGTGTTGAGAGTTTTGAGAAGATGAGTGATTCCAATGTTTTTGCACAGGTGGGGATTCCAAAGTTTGATGGTGACTTTGATCACTGGAGTCTCCTGATGGAGAATCTTTTGCGATCTAAAGAATACTGGCATGTGGTGAGCACTATTTCAGGGAGCCTGCAACAGGAGAGGCACAGACAGATGCTGAAACCAAGGTGTTGGAGGAACTGAAACTCAAGGATCTGAAGGCTAAAAACTGCTTTATTTAGTTCTATTGATAAGGTAATCCTTAAAACTATAACCAAGAAGAATATTGCTAAGGAGTTATGGGACTCAATGAAAGAGAAGTATCATGGCAGTGCTAGAGTCCAGAAGGCTCAATTGTAGGTTTTGAGAAGAAACTTTGAGCTTCTGTAGATGAAGGACAGTGAGTCTGTCACTTAGCACTTCAACAGGGTGATGGTGGTGGCAAATTCCATGAGGAATTATGGAGAAACCCTTAGTGATGTGCATATAGTTGAGAAAATCCTTACAACTTTAACTGAGAAGTTCAATTTTGTGGTTTGTTCTATTGAGGAATCTAAGGATATTGAATCATTGACTGTGGATGCCCTTCAGAGCTCACTGATTGTTCGTGAGCAGAAACTGCACAACAGAAATGTAGCAAGGGATGATCAGGCTCTGAGGACTGCTCACGAGTATGGTGGTAGAGGAGGAAGAGGTGGAAGAGGCCTAGCTGGAAGAGGAAGAGGTGGACGAGGTTGGAGCAATGAGAATGTAGAGTGCTTCAAGTGTCACTGATTGGGACATTTCAGGCATGAATGCCCCGAGTTGAACAATCCTCATCAGCAAGCTTACTGCACCAACTACTACCCTACTCAAGACAGATCATTTGGTGATATGAAGGATGATGTTCTGTTGATGGCTACCATTGGAGCAACTGATGAACAAATGGTGGAAGGAGAGAAGTCCTGGTGGTTCCTTGATTGACGTTGCAACAACTATATGAATGGCAACCAAGATTGATTCATCTCATTGGATACTAGTTTTTCTTGCAGTATAAGGTTGGGAAACAATTTTAGGCTGTCGCAGAAGGGAAGGGCACAGTGAAACTTGCTGTGAACCACACCTCCTTTGTGGTTCAAGATGCGTTCTATGTGCCTGGATTGAAGACCAACTTGCTGAGTGTTGGACAGCTGCAAGAGAAGGGGATGAGTTTTCTCATCTAGGGTGGTTGTTGCAACCTATTCCATGAAGAAAGAGGATTGTTGGTGCAGACTCAAATGAAGTCAAATCAAATGTTTGTCTTGCATGCTGACATGAATATGGTGCAGCATCATCAATGCTTGCAAACCAGTGGCCTCAAGGACAACTCTATGGAGCTGTGCCACAGGAGGTTTGGTCATCTCAACATACAAGGGCTACTGCAGTTGCATAAGAAGAAGCTAGTTTAGAATCTCCCAGACCTGAAAGGAGAGATTGGAGTCTGTCAAACCTACCTTAAAGGCAAGCAACACATGCACCTTTTCAAAAGAAAGCAACTAGAGGGCAAGCCAAAGACTTCATTTAGTTCATGCAGATTTGTGTTGGCCTATCACTCTAGTCTCTAATGGAGGAAAAAGGGGGGTTAATGCTTAATGATTTTAAGCACTTGTGTGAAGAAGTTGGGATGAAGAGGCAACTCACAACAGCTCTCACTCCACAACAAAATGGAGTTTCTGAGAGAAAAAATCGCACAACGATGAACATGGTACGTTGCTTGCTAGAAGACAGTAAGGTTCCAACTACTTTCTGACTTGAAGTCAGAAGCAGTCAGCTGGACTGCTCATATGTTGAATAGAAGTCCCACTGCAGCCAATCAAGGCAAAACTTCTCAGGAATTGTGGACAGGTATACCTCCCTCAGTCTCTCACTTCAGAATATTTGGATGCGTGGCTTTTGTTCATATCCTAGATCAACAGAGGAAGAAATTGGATGAAAAGAATGTGTAATGTCGGTTTTTGGGAAATTTTGCTGAATCCAAAGCTTACAAGTTGTATAACCCACTTACCAAGAAGACAGTGATCAACAGGGATGTTGTATTTGATGAGAGTAAGGGATGGATGTTGGAATTTGAACCTCAACTAACACTGTCTCAAATTCTGTGGGATAGAATTGAGTATGACTGGTATGACACAAATACAAAAGAATCAGCCACTGAAGTTGAAGGAACTGGACTAGACATTCAACCCTCTAATCAAGAGGAGGACTCATCCACTCAGTCTCTCTCAACAGTTCAGGAAGAAGTAGAAGAAAAGGAAGAAGATATTGGCTCTCCATCTAATGTACTTGGTTTGCCTAGTACAGGAATGGGGTCCAGGATCAGAAAACCACCTGGATACTTATCCATATATGACTGTAGTTTTGCGGGAGCAGATTGGTGGGCCATGGTAGCAGTATCTAGAGGAAGCATGTTTGGGACCAGTATGGAATGTAGCAATGAAAGTTGAGACGAGAGCAATCGAAAAGAATGATACATGGGAGCTGACTAAACGGCCAAAAAGGGTCACACCTATTAGATTCAAGTGGATTTACAAGACCAAGCTGAAGGAGGATGGAGCCCTAACAAACACAAGGCTAGACTGGTGGTCAAAGGCTGCTCTCCGGAGTATGTCATTGATTACAAGGAGGTATTTGCTCCTGTTGCTATGTGGGACACAATCAGAATTCTGTTAGCTTTTGCTGTATTTCATGGGTTTGAGGTTCATCAGTTAGATGTTAAAAGTGCTTTACTCTATGGGTAACTCACTGAGGAGATATATGTTGAGAAACCTCAAGATTATGTGATTGCTGGGGAGGAACACAAAGTCTACCAGCTTAAGAAAGCTTTGTATTGCTTGAAGCAAGCTACCAGAGCTTGGTACACCATAATAGAAACATACTTCTTGCGGTCAGGATTCACTAGATGCCCCTACGAACACACACTCTTCATCAAGAAATCTAGTGCTGAAATTCTAATTATTAGTTTGTATGTTGATGACCTCATGTATACTAGCAATAATGCTAAAATGATGTCAGATTTCAAGGAATCAATGAGGGCATAATTCGAGATGACTGATCTTGGCAAGATGAAGTATTTTCTGGGAGTGGAAATCATTCAGTAGGAGTCTAGCATCTTCCTTTGCCAGCAAAAGTATGTCAAGGATGTCCTGGAGAAATTTAGTCTCCTTGAATGCAACCATGTGATCAATCCTACACCTGGTGGAGTGAAGACGACAAAGGCTGGAGATAGAGTTCTAGTGAATTCAACTGAATACAAAAGGTTGATTGGTAGCCTGCTGTATGCAACTGCAACCAGACCAGACCTCATGTTTCCGTGTGTCTCCTCAGTAGATACGTGGAGAATCCTACGAGGCAACACATGCTAGCAGCCAAGAGGATTCTCACGTATCTAAAGGGGACCATGAGTATGGAAATATGGTACAGAAGAGGGAATGAAGAGCTCTACCTGCTGGGATGCACATACTCTGATTATGCAAGAGACTCTGATGATAGGAAAAGCACCAGTGGGTATGCTTTCTTCCTTGCAGG